TTTGTATCACTAGAATGGTGTTTAAATTTTGAATTTTTGATTTTTTAAAATTTCAGTTTTTATTTTTGAATTTGAATTTAAAATTCGAATTCAAAAATAAAAACTAAAATTTCTTATATTTTAAAATTAACTATAACAAATTATACTTACATCCATATATAATCATCTCCTCCTTCGATTTTAGTAATAACAAGGTTAGCCATTTCTTTTGCCATCATGTTTTGATCATCTAGATTTATCTTTACTAATAGGTGTATTTGATAAGCTATATTGGCTACTTCATTAGTGCTCGCACTTGCTGTTGGCTCTTGAATCTTATCTGTGACAAAGTTCTCTACTTCAAGACAATTGATTTCAATATATACATCATTATCAACACATTCAATCTCTTGACTATTAGTTTCAGGTTGAGTAACTGATTTAGCATTGATAGGAAATTGTGCAACTGATTCAGCATTGGTAGGATTTGTAGTTCTTGTTGAAGAACTTTGATTTTTCTTTTTTCTTTTGTCGCGCCTTTCTTTATATTTTACGCACATCAAGTATCTAACATTATCCCAAATAATCATTTCCTTGGGACACTTGGTACCATACTTACTACACTCCTCGCTATTACAATTGAGGCACATTTGGTGTCTAATGTCATCCCAAACAAACATTTCATTAGAATACGAGTTTCCACACTCATTACACTCTTCTATTTTAATAATAGGCCGATTTATGAATTATGATTAAGAATAATCTTTTTATAAGAATGACAAAGATTTTTGCTGCTTGAATATTTCTTGGTATCCATGGCAAGATAAGTGTTATATTTATATGAAATAATTAAAATGAAGAATTCAATAACAATTGTACTATGGTTTATAAGATAATTATCTAGGGGCATAAGAGAAGCCTTATTGTATTTTCAAGATAAATATTTATGAAAATGATTGAGAGTTTTCACGTCTCAGGATTTCGACACAATATAATTTTATTTTAATCATATACGAGATAAAAAGAGGAGCACTTTAAAACAAAATTTATAGTATATCTATGTTAAAATAATTATTTACAACATTAATGATTACAATGTAGTATAATTTTATTTGAAGAGTTTGGGCCCTATAGCTTAGCAGTTAAGCTTCCAAACCCCCACAGACTAGGTCGACAGTTCAAGTCAGGCTGGAGGCAAAATCTTAGGATTTTTAGCTTCTGTAACCCAATAGGGGACCATAATTGAATGCGGAGCCCTGTGATTAAGCCCAAGTGCAAGTACGAAACCGAAAAAAGAAATTTTCGGAAGGAGGTCTAATCGTAGAGTGGTGGCACTACGTATGATGAGTCATGGAAGGTTCTGTTACACAAAAGGTTGCACATGTTAGTCCTCGATTAGGGGTGACCGGGCAGCACCAACATCCCCAGCGGTTGGGGTACTTGATTAGAAGAGTAACATGACAGTAACAAAACTGAAGTAGTGAGAAAAGTGGTGAACACGAGGACAACTTGTGATAAAGAATTGGTCCATTCGGAGTTCGGAAGCACCTTTGGCCCCAAGCCACTTGGCCTATTAAGGAAGAAACCTGTGAAGACAAAGTGAGAAGGCTGAAACTCAGGGTACATAGTAAAAACTCGAAATGGCTAGATTCACCGGGCTGGTAGTACAATTGTACAAATTGGGCTTGTATACCAGAAATTGATAAGAGCACCAAATACGGAAATTGGAAGTATTATAGACCGCAAGCCGCAACTAGGTCTAGACCCCTAGAGCTCTGTAACCTAAAAATGTCAGGGCACCGGAATACCATAGCTCAAACTATGAAAGAGAAGTAATATAAAACCTGCAATCTGGAAGTTATGGGATAACCTGTAATGCAATATGGTGAGCCTGCACCAACACACAGGAGTATCTACTTATAAAGGTAACGGGAATCGGCAACATACTAACTAAACTAGGCATTAATGACGAACCTTAACCTGGGCTAGTATGAGTTCCTCTTCGTGATATTACCTGGGCAGTCTAGCTAAAGATAACCAAGATTAGAAGTAGCCCTTGAGGCTACGAGGCCATATCCCAGAAGGGATTACCAAATTTGAGAGCTTAGATATAAGTGGTATGAGAGATGCAGAGAATGACGTCATAGGGAAGTGTACCAAAATAGGACTAGTGAAGAGTGAAAAAATACCAGGTGAGTGCTATCCTTAGACGTACCGCTTTGATAGGTTTGGATCGCAGATAATGGATTGGTGGCCAGATAGCAGATGGGGACACCTATCGCGCAAGTGATGGTTTCAGCCAGAGCGTAGGTAACCAATAGGATTCGAGTCTGAGCTTGGTATACTTGATATATGTAAATACGAAAATGTAGTAATACATGTAATGAAAGTATTAACAATAAATAAAGTCATGGGCAAGATCCCATCTGAACATCAAAAAAAAATAATAATAATTTTATTTGAATCTGAAGAGGAGGAACACTTTAGAACATAACTTAATCATCACTGTTTCGATTTGAACTAATGGACTACTAAAGATTTAAGCATTGAGATATTTATTTTTTTATTTATTTATTTTTGTTTATTTTTTTATGATTTATCAAAATTTATATATATTTTTATGTTCATCAGGAAATTTTTTAAGCTGATAAGTAATAATCACTAACAATTAAATTGATTATTATCGATTAAATTTAATTGATAATAATCAATGGTGGTGTTGATAATTGATTTAAATCAAATTGATAATTGATTATAATCAACATATACAAAAATTAATTAAATGCGATTTAAAATAATTAAACTAAATCGATTATAATCAATATTTTTTATTTACTATCAATTATAATCAATAAAAGTCTGCTTCATTTTAAATTGACGGTGTTGATGAAAATCGGTTAAAATTCTTAGATTTTAATCAATTTTAATCAGCTTTTAAAATTACCTAGTGTATATAGAAATCGAACATAGAAAATAGGGCATGAATAAGTAATTGATATTCAAGATCCTTTATATAGACATGGTGATAAAGGAAAGGACAATAGCAATAATGATTGTTTTTATTTAATAAGCAACAATGTACTGTATTATTTTATTTAATAAGTAGGAATTAATAACAATACATTTTATTTAAAAAAAAAATTAACAATGTGTTTATTAAAAAGAATGGCTAACAATACATTTAATAAATTAAAAAATATCGAATAAAAGATATAAAACTCCAACCCAAAGTACTTAGTATACCAGATACAACTATAGAATTCATTTGACGAATATATCGTTCTGATTCTCAAACCAAATAATGTTTGCTTTAATCTCTAACCAATTTTATACAGTAAAAAAGCTCAAAAAACAAATATAGAATAAAATAAAAATATTAAAGTACTTATAAAATGAATAAATCGATCACACAGAAATGCAAACCTGAATTAGGTTCCTTATCCTCTTTCTTGTTTTTTGGGAACCATGTTTAATACCAAACTGAAAATGTGTTGTATCTTCTACATTGGATGCATTGCCCTTTATCAGACCTATGATAAAATTCATACTGTCATTTTGACTTATAATACAGATTCTTGAAAATATTTCAACACACCAATACTTCTGTTAAAAGTTAGAAAATTCTATAAAAATACAAGTGAATAGAATAACTTATAAGTTTTTAATTAATTATAAAATGAATGATTAATAGATCATAAGTCGAATGATCAATAAATCGTAAGTTTTTTAACTATAAAAAAGTTATCTAGTAATACTTAACTTGAGATTTTCATAGCACTAATATAATATCGTCGCATTTCAACAAACTTCAATTCGATGACACTTATTCGAATATTTGAAAATTGGAACTAATTTCTAATAAAAATGTGCTAAAATACTTTTGTTATTAATAATTCAATCGCGAAAGCTAAAAACTGAAAACTTTAATTATTGATTGATGATACCATAAACCTTAATAGATATCATATTACCTAAATAGTGAAAATCATTTGGCTGTGGCTGCAGCTGCGCCATGATCTACATCACTGGCACTTTGGGAGGCTGCTCTGGTATCATCGAGTTAGTATATCAGATTTAAATAAAAGTGGTATTTGTATAAGAGGAATAGATAAATTAGGAGTAGAAATTTGTACTGGGTGTTGAATAGCAATAGAATATAGTAGATCTAATAAATTAGCATTAAGGGTAGAGTATATGTTGATCATTTGTTATATGATCTGCGCAATAAATTTAAATTTACATAGAAAATAAAATATATTACTAATAGGGTAAATGTTAATCATGCATCTGCATTATTTTGCACCCCATTAATAATGTAGTGATCAACCAATTAGAATACGAATTTCAATCAGTAAAAAAAAATTGAACATACGTACATACATACCTTTTAACAAAAAACGTTTTGAAGACAAACCTACTTGTAATGTACGTATGTACGTACGTACGTACATACCTCTTAACAAAAAACGTTTTGAAGACAAACCTACTTGTAGTACTCTCACTACCGCTCATTAAATCAACATTAACCTCAATTAACTATTGTAAAGCCGTTGCACCTGCTACTTTAACTCAAATCTGTGCTTTTTTTTGGTGGTTGTGACAAACCAAACGAACTTAATAAACCCTGACCATAAATCGTAATCATCTTAGCAACAAAGACTGGTAACATTTCTGGTAACACAAGTGTCTGGCGACCACATAGGTCGTAAAAGAGTAAATTCTCTTTACTTAAAAATATACTGAAATTAATGAATTTTTTGGTCTGCGAAAAAGTATATATTAAATCTTGAATTCATTGGTCAATGCTAACTAATAAAAAATGATAAAAAATTTGAAAACAGGAATAATTGCAATAAATTAACAACCTAGCGAAAGGCACGAATAAGCAGTAAAAAAAAAAATAAAAAAAAGACCTCTAACGACCGAGTAGGTTATAAAAAGGTAAGGTTATACTTGCAAAAAGTGTGTCTTAAAATTTCACGAATTTTTTGGTCAATCAAATATTAATTAAAAAGAAATTAATGCAGCCCAAATCTAACAATCAACAAAAGCCCAAACCCAACGATCAAGAAAGCCCAAACCCAACGATCAAGAAAGCCCAAACCCAACGATCAAGAAAGTCCAAACCCAACGATCAAGAAAGCCCAAACCCAACGATCAAGAAAGCCCAAACCCAACGATCAACGAAAGTACAAACCCAATGATTAATGAAAGTACAAACCCAACGATCAATAAAAGTACAAACCTAACGATCATCGTAATTCACAAGCTTAGTAACAAAGCACCGTATTTGACTATCAACAAAAATAAAGCTGGTAGAAAAGAACAAACTGACTGTTTGAAAGATGTGAGCTCACTAAGACAATAAATTTAATGATTTATTAGACCATATAAAGGTAAATTGCTTGCAGAAGAATAATATCTTGAGCTTCAAATTTTTATAGTCAAATACTAACTGAAAAACTTTAAAATTGTAAAGCTTCCAACAAGATAATAAATTCAGTAGCCAAGTTTTAAAACGGTAAATTTGAAATTTATGATGTATTTTATTAAGAATAGATATAAGTAATTCTTTATTTTTGTAATATAGATAGCAAATAATGAAGAAGCACCTCAGTTGAATGATGATTTAGCGGCTGTTAGTCTTGATGATGATTTAGCAGCTGTTAGTCTTGATGATGATTTAGCGGCTGTTAGTCTTGATGATGATTTAGCGGCTGTTAGTCTTGATGATGATTTAGTGACTATTAGTCTTGATGATGAATTAGTAGTTGCTAGTTATGAAAATAATAAAAAAGATGATGAACACACTAACTCTCAAGAAAAGCTTTATAAAGGAAGGATATTCTAAAGTTGGGATGAAGCATATGATACAATAAAATTGTATGCACGGCAGAAAGGGTTTGGCTTAAGAAAAGGTCGCATTGAGAAGACTTCTGAGTGCTACTCGTAAACGAACAATGCTTTGTAAACATAGTGGCGAATATAAATCGAAGAACACCAAACAAGTTAGAGAATCAAGCACGAAGTATATACAATGTAAATGGCATGTAAATTGTTCACAACCAATAAAAAATAATCTCAACAAAAACATTTATATTATTACTCTAAATAATGTACATAATCATAAATTGTTTTATCACAGAGTAGAATTTTTAAATGATAGTGAACTTACACAAGAAATGATCAAACGGGTAGAATTCTATATGAACGTTGTTAAACTAAAACCATTACAAATTCAAAGAGCTATACAAAAAGAATTTTCTAATCGTGAGATTTACCTTTCTGAAAACCATAAGGTGGTAATGAAGTTTTACAATAAGAGACGAAAAGACATTACAAATGATGCTGCATTATTGTATGAAGATTTGCTTAAAAAAAAAGATAATGATTCTCACTGGTATGTTGCAATTGATTGGGATAGGGAGACATACAGTCTTCGGAGATTATTTTGGATGTCTCCTGAGCAGATAATTCTCTGGATGAAGTTTAGTGATATTATACTAAATGATAATACGGCCAAAACTAATCGATATGATATGGCACTTTCTCTTTTTTTGTGTATTGATAACTATGGATCTTCTCAACTAGTTGGATGTGCACTTATAGGTGATGAATCTGCTGACTCTTATTGCTGGGTTTTGCGTCAAACAAAAAAAGCTACAGGAGGTTGTGTACCCGCTGTTATTATGACAGATGCAGATCCAGCCTTGGATCTTGCAATATCTGAAGAGTATGAACAATCACATGCTATGCA